CAGAGAGATAGGCTGACACAGAGAATGGCAGAAACGAGGAGAGGCAGAGACAGAGTGGGGACAGGGACAGGCGGACAGGGACAGGAGCAGAGGGACAGGGACAGAGCCAGAGGAGGGACGGGGGAACAGAGGGGGGGGCAGTGGGAGAGGGAGGGAGACAGGGACAGAGAGAGAGACAGAGGGACAGAAACACAGAGACAGAGGGACAGGGTCAGAGAGGGGGACCGGGGGACAGGAGACCAAGAGAGAGGGGACAGAGGAGAGACAGGGGATAGAAAGAGTGGGCAGGGGGACAGGGACAGACAGAGAAGGACAGGGACAGAGGGACAGGAACAGGGGGGCAGAAAGGGCGGACAGGGGGACAGGGGGCAGAGATAGGGACAGTGGAACAGAGACAGGGACAAGGGGACTGGAGGAAAGGGAGGGGGACAGATGAAGGACAGCGGACAGAAAGAGTGGGCAGGGGGACAGAGAGGTACAGGGGACAGAGAGAAGGACAGGGGGACAGAGATGGACAGGGGGACAGAGTGACAGGGGGGACAGAGAGAGGGACAGGGGGACAGAGAGATGGAAAGGGGGGACAGTGGGAAAGGGATCGGGGACAGAGGACAGAAAATGTGGGCAAGTGGACAAAATGAGGGACAGGGGGACAAAGATGGACAGGGCGACAAAGATAGACAGGGCGACAAAGATGGACAGGGGGACAGGAGGAAAGGGGGGAGATGTATGAGGGGGATTGTTTGCGAGAGATGGAGAAGGGGTATTTAGAACGGTAAGTTAGAGAGGGGACAACTAAGGCGCATCATTGAAAAGCAAATGAGCATCATTGCAATAGCAGGAGCCACGCACATCTTCAGCCTGCGTTGTTGAGACATTGTCAATTAAGCGGTGTCCAATAACAGTATCTTCGGTATTTAAGCGATATCTTAAAAAATACTGGAAATATTGAAAGATATTAATCCAGATATTAATCCCCTTGTGCAACGCACACAAGAGGCAACAGCTTCTAGCTCTACAAGCGGCAATATAAAATAGAGAATAGGCGATTGTTTTCACTCATAGTGTAATAAACCCACTCACCCGCTGAAGCCGTAAATACCAAGACATTACTTCCGTTTAAAATTTAGCCGGAATAATCCTCAGGTATGTGGAGGATGTGGGAGGCCTTTGATCAACCGCCGACTTCCTGCCCCGTCGACGGGGCCACCAGCCCTCAGTGTGCCCTCAGCCAAATTCATGTGAAACATGTATGTGTGTGTATTAAATATTTTAATTTATTATTTCCAAGATTTAGCTGTTAGCTCTTGGACCCCGCCTTTCTAAGCGTCGGTTGTCTAATGTACCGACTCTCGGCCTCTTTTCCTCCATCATATCTAAACAACATATCTTTTTATCAAACACACACACATACATCCCCAAGATGCAGCCTTTAGCAGCTTCCTGACTTTCAGGTTCCTATTTACTGCAAGGTGAATAGGCATTAGTGTGTGTATGTTTGTGTGTGTGTACGTGTGTGTGTGTACGTGTGTGTGTGTACGTGTGTGTGCGCGTGTGTGTGCGCGTGTGTATACTCACCTAGTTGTGGTTGCGGGGGTTGAGCTCTGGCTCTTTGGTCCCACCTCTCAACTGGCAATCAACTGATGTACAGATTCCTGAGCCTACTGGGCTCTATCATATCTGCATTTGAAACTGTGTATGGAGTCAGCCTCCACCACATCACTGCCTAATGCATTCCATCTATTAACTACTCTGACACTGAAAAAGTTCTTTCTAACATCCCAGTGGCTCATTTGGGTACTAAGTTTCCACCTGTGTTCCCTTGTTCGCCTACCACCCGTGTTAAACAGTTTATCTATATGTACCCTATCAATTGCTCTGAGAATTTTGTAGGTAGTGATCATGTCTCCCCTTACTCTTCTGTCTTCCAGTGTCATGAGGTGCATTTCTCGCAGCCTGTCCTCGTAACTCATGCCTCTTAGTCCTGGGACTAGCCTATTGGCATACCACTAAACTTTTTCAAGCTTCGTCCTGTGCTTGACAAGGTGTGTGTGTATGTGTACGTGTATAACACACACGTACTTATGTGGTACGCATGTACTACATAATTGTAAGGCGTTTGCTGAATTAGAAAAGTCGGCTAGCAGTCCACCCTTAACGACACAATTAACTCATTACATAAAAAAATACGTGGCTGTGCAACAGTGTGTGGGAATTGGGGAACTGGTGTGCATTTAGACGACTGGTGAGGACCAACAATGACGTAGAAGGATGGCATCAGCGTCTGAATCAAAGGGCAGTGAGGGACAACTTGGCTTTATATATTTTAATCCCCTTACTGTACCGTGAGGCGTCCTTGGTAACCTTGCAATACCAACTGGTTTCTGATCAAAAGCTAAAGTCCAGTCGCTGCAAGGGCAATGAAGAGAAACAGGAACATTTGTGGAAGCTTTGGGACCGTTACGAGGAAAAACAGATAAGCACCTCACAGTTCCTCAAGGAATGTTCGCGTTTTATCCCAGGAAGTGCCTGAATTAGAATTAAAAAACAGCAGTCTGTTTACTGGTTGTTATTTAACTTAAGTTAGTTGTAAATGATAATGTAAAAATAGCCACTGAGAACTGATGAGTTGCCCAAGACTTTTGCTCGTAAAGAGGGAATTGATTACAAACTTGGACTGCCTTTGAGCAGTCTGAGGGCAGCAATATCCCAGGAACATCAACTAAATTTCGGAGACTTGAGGCAAAGTGAAATTCACACCAGTTACTCCATCTATCATCATTCTATTATGCAGGAAGAACCGCACGTCTATGGGTCATCCAATAATGTTAGCTGACTTCTAGATGTTACCACTGCTTATAGGCTTAGGCTCGGCTACAAGTACCTCTGGGAGTTTGTAACATCTGCTGATGTAGATTTGACTAAATGTAAACTCTGTCAGCAGAACTATTCGCGTACTTTGCGTCATTATATAATGGAATGTGAAAAAATCGCGGAATTTAGAGATAACACCATCAATAGTGTTCAAGATATGTGTAAGTACTTCATTCATAATGATGTGCTGCTCGAAATCTTAGCGAAGTATCCAAAATTTGCTTACTGTAGGTAATGCATGCACATGACTGTAAAGCTGCCGCCCAGTTGGGTGGGTGTGGAGCACATGACTGTAAAGCTGCCGCCCAGTTGGGTGGGTGTGCAGCACGACTAGTAACTGTGTGACTCACCATAGATGTAAAGTGCCTTGTATAGTGACTGTTGTGAGCCTCTTGTTGATCACTTGTGACACAAAGTTTATTGATGTGTGTATTTGTGTAGGTGATTAGATATGTATGTGTATGTATATATGTATACGTATATATATATATATATGTACATGTATGTATGAGAGTGTGTACATGTATATATAATATTAATAATTTTGTAACTAGCGTCACAAATTGTTATTTGCTTAGCTAAACGAACTAGAGGGTTCAGTTCCTGAACCGATTATGTGCCTCTGTAATCCTTTACACCACCGCCCACGGGATGGGTATGGGGTGCATAATAAAGAAAGAAATTGAATTGAATTGGTCTGATTAAGACTTTATGACCATGTAATCTATGTTTTGCTCCACTACTTACTGGTTGAGTATGGGGTGCATAACAAATAATAGCCTCCTTCAGGGGCGCCTTGTTTCTAAACGTGTTAGTCTTAAATCCTTTAATCTCAAATCTTGCTACAATGTACCTCTTAACCTCAACACCTCAAGCCCACTCATCAACCACAAATTCTGAAATGGACATTGAGGACATAGAACCACTTGATGTTTCTGATTTCATAGAAGATTCTACTACAAGTTTGGTGGTTCCTGTAGAAGACAATATTCCTCCAGTGCATCCAAGAAATACAAGAATTATAGATTCAGAACAACGTCTCAACTACAAGTTGACGCATGAACTCGTGCACTTGGCTAAAAAAAGAAGATGCCGTGTTGGTTTCAAGTCTGGCAAAATGAGGGACGTGATTTATGGATGTAAAACTTGTGATGTGGCACTGTGCGCTGCGCCTTGCTACACAAGGTACCACCGAAGAAAGATATTTTGGGTGGAGAAAAAATAACCACCGGCAACAGCTTCACTCCACCTAAGAAACATCAGATGAGCAACTTCAGGATCAGAAGCCTGAAGATGGTGGAGTGAAGAAAAATGCTCAACTGTTGATCTTCAATCAACATAGACAGGGTAAGTACACCTATTTGGAATTTTTATCATCTATAAGAAGTTATATTATATACGTTTTGTAGAGAATTTATTTGCGAATTTTTTGGTACCAGAATATTATATCACATAAACTTCTATGAGTAAAAAAAAAAAAACACAAAGTATGTTTGGGGGTGTGGCGGGTGTGGCTCTGGGTATGGCGGCCGTGTGGCATTGGGTTCCCTTTACCCGTTGATATATCCAACACGTGGGAAATATTTGTATGTGTTATGTATATGTCTGTGTAGGGAATTTTACTGCGATCACTGTCATACAAATTATAAAATGTTTCAACAAGTATAAACATGACAAACATCAAACGAACGAAAACAATGCGTTCGTTTCTGCCGCGAACGCATACTGAGCGACGTGGTTCTATATTTGGCGCTTCTCTTACACATGCTTTGTACAAATGTTATACATTTCATCTTATAGAAAATTTTATTGCGAACACATTGGTATAAAAAAGAAATACATACATAGAAAAGTAGGGTTTAATATATGTTATGTACTCTCGCAACCCAATGTACCTTCTTGTATATAAATAAATAGATTTCAACTGTAAGGGGTATGGTTTGCACCTTGTTATTCTAATAATAGATAAATAATTCTAATAATGGAAGCGCTAATTATATGAACAAGTTCCATGTATTTATTCAGACGAGAACAACAGCGAACACAAACCAGCGCATATACGAACGGAATGGTTTGTATGTACAAACTTCTCAGTGAACGAAGTTGTTTCTAGCCCGGTATCCGAAATTGCAGTATACGACTTGACCAGTCCCCGCCGTCGTCGCCCCAACACTAACACAACCTGCGCTCCCACCATATTGTAAGGCTATACACATGCCCACCTCCACCTGCTGATGTGTACACACCATGACAAGTGATTGTGGAGTCCTCAGCTATTCGAGGGAACAGGTTGTGTTCCAGTAGCAGGATATTAAGAGTAAGGTTGTAAGTGTGACTGAGGAAAGGTTGAAAAGCTTGTTAACATGGCCGAGGTGGACCACTTAATAGCCTCTTGGATTAGCAGTAACTTGCCGTACTTCCTGCTCGCTTTCCTGGTAATATGGTTCATTAAGAAACACACCGCTGACATAAGACACAGGTAAGACACTAGCAGTCTATCTACTGACAACTTGCAATTACTCAAATGTATTTATTATTATTTTATTCTTATACCCATTGTAAGGTTCAGTGGATAGTTGTCATTCAGATTTTAATACTGGCCAATGCTGTATGTCAGTGTATGAGGTATATTGTATTGTGCAGATTTCTAAATTGATTATATAAAGCTTTAATTATATAATTAATTATTTAACAATTATTGTTTAATATGGACATTTAATAAAGATTTAAGTTACATCGTACACAAGACGATTTGCCAACAGATTTTGAAACTTGCCCAAATTAACCTAACCAAGCTCAATACAGTCTAACCAAGCCCAATACAGCCTATACTAAGTTAATATAGCCTAGCATAGCAATATATACACTTTTAACAAACAGAAAGCAAGCTTTGTCGAATCGTCTTGTCTGAAATGACCATACCCCCTCTTATAATAAAGCAACCAGCTTTGTGGTTGCCTTAACCAGGAACTTTGCCAGTACGTATAGTACAGGTATATCCATGTATATTATAGTCAGTATTTTAACCATCATTTAAATTTGACAGTCTTGGATAGCACTTCTATAATAAGCCTCCTAGTGTTCTGGATGAGAACCCCATCAAGCATCAAATGTTTGGTGTCTTATTTCATGGGAAACACTGAGTACAGTACTAACATTTAATAATACTGGGCATGGTAGCAGACAGTGTCAGTAGTTTTAGCATTTTCACATTTGATGCCTTTTTTTAACCCAAAATCCAGACACCACCATTGTACATCCCATGTTTGTTGGTTCATCCCAAGAGAATAACTGACCATTATCGTCTTAATATGACAATATAATATAATATTAATATAAGATTAATATGCAAGGTAGCATGGTATGTTACCTTCATTTGATTTAAAAACTATGACATTAAATTAATTTAAATTAAAAAAGGGTTATATTTTCAGATGGTTTGCCTTCCTATCGTACCAGCTTACCAAGGAAAAGGATGCCAAAGTGGAAGAAGTGAAGAAAGACTTGTTTGCCAGTCTTGGATCTATTACGTCCCATGATCCTGAACTTCGGAAAGAAAATGCAATTAAAATTTTGGAGATTGGAGTTGGGACGGGTTAGTTACTTTTATTTTAATCTATACAATTTATCTTTTATTACGTTACATACTGATTCTTTAGATTGTTGTCCAAAGCTAGATTATATATGTATATAGTATATCACTAAGAACTAAGCATTTCCCCTCTGGATCGCTACACTGAGGTGCTGGACGAGAACACTAGCTGCTCTAGGGTCTCTGTAGTCTCAATTAGCCTGAAACCAAAATCCATAAAAAATCTCCTTACACTATCCCCTTGGACCAAGGGTTTTGGTTCTTATCGGAACGAAGTTGTATGTGTGATCTATTTCCCTGTACTTAAATAAAACATGGACAACATTGGAATTCATAACAAACTGTGTGTCTGGTAGCTGGTGTCACCATAGGTGTAGTCATATGTTCCCTTCAGGGTGACCTGTGTGGCTCAGATGGTCGCCTTGTTTGTGTTTATGGTGTACCTTGGTCTGTGTTCTCTGGGGACCCAGATGGTACAGGTGGTTCACTTGGTGAACCAGCTGGCCTTCTGCATGCCCACAGGTTCATGTTGTCCGCAAGTATATATGGCATTCTCCACTTTCTTTTATGTCTACGTCATTTATATAAAAGTAGGTAATGCCCACCAAACACACACCGAAACTACGACGTTGGTACAACGTTCGAACAAATTTTAACCCCTAACCAGTTATAACAACCAATATAGCAAGTTGTAACAACGTTCTAATACATCATAAACACGTTAAGCCAAGATGTAACAACTTTATTACAAGTTGTAATAAGCGGAAAATAGAGACAGTTTTGGTTTGTGTTTCCAGGGTGATAATTAAATCATGATATGAATATCACTTTACCCTGGCAATGAAGCATGATGATAAATGCACTTTAATAGTTAAAGCTAAGCTCATCAAATTTCAACTGTAAATTCCTCTTGTAATTTAAATCTCATTTTATTTGGCTGGCCATTGTATCAATATATTTATCAGTAGTACTGCAATATAAATTCCTACTCTTTGGCCATCAAGTTTCCTTCCACCTCATTATACACTGCTTAAAATTTTGAGATGATCACTAGTAAAAGTTTCTAAAGAAAATTTAGAAAATTAGGAATGCATTCCACCCCACTTTGAATGCAAGCATATGACTGTGAAATGGATAAATGTATGTTATGTTTTTCTCAACAGGTGTTAATTTCTCTCACTACCCCAATGGCAGTCATCTAGTGGTTGTGGATCCAAATCCCTATTTTAGAAAATATTATAATGACAATAGAAAGAAATTCCCAAATATACGCTCTGAAGACATCTTGGTGACAGCAGGTAAGTGAAATTGGTGCCACTGTTTAAAGAAATAAGCTGTGTCTGTAATACGTATTTGTATGACTTTATAAAGTTTGTATAATAAACAGTAGTTCTGCAGTTTCTGCTTAGCCTGTGTGGCTATTTTAACATCTAGCCACCAAGTGAACTAAAATTAGAATTAGTGACTTTAGCAACAATAATTATTCATTCAAATGTCACGGCTATAAATAAGGAGTCTGACACCTTCAAGTAATCGTCAAGACATCTTCTCCCAGATAAAGCAAAAATAAAGATAAATAAAAAAAGATAAAATAAAATTTGAAGGGGATAATAGTGATTTTTTATACTTTGGTGGTATAAGCAATTATAAAATAGCACTTAATGCCCAGGGACAGAAATTGTTACATAGTGTTATCAAAGATCCATGCGATATATATTTTTTTCTTGGTTTTATGTTTGCTTAGCTATTATTGTCACCTAATAGATATTTCTTGAGGGTTGCTCAGTGGCTCCTAGAGCTTAGACACATTCACTCCAGGGCTAAACCTGACCTGTCAGGGCCCCTGTGACCAAGTACCAGACTCTTGCCCACTCATAGAAGTTGAGAAACATATGGGGGATTAGGGATCACTCCCCTCCCCCCAAACACACACACGCACAAAAAACACGCACATCCCTGTGTACAGAAGTCGTAGCAGATGTGTGGAAAAAGGCTAACATAGTTCCAGTCTACAAGAGTGGAAGCAGGGAACACCTCAATTATAGACCTGTATCATTGACAAGTGTAACAGTTAAAATATTGGAAAAAATAATTAAAACTAAATGAGTAGAACACCTGGAGAAAAATGATTTACAGTAACATCAGTCAGTATGGTTTTCAATCTGGAAAATCCTGTGTAACAAATTTACTCAGTTTCTATGATCAAGCCACAGAGATTTTACAGGAAAGAGATGGTTGGGTTGACTTCATCTATCTGGACCTAAAAAAATGCTTTCGACAGAGTTCCACACAAGATAGAAATAAAGTACCACACCAATAAAGTAGCCGTCACAACTGCAAGAAAAATGACAGGTTGGATAACAAGAACTTTTCACACTAGAGATGCTATACCGATGATACTTTTCAAAACGCTTGTGCTCTCTAGAGTGGAGTACTGCTGCACAATGACAGCCCCTTTCAAAGCTGGAGAAATTGCTGACCTGGAGAGCGTGCAGAGATCTTTACTGCTAGAATCCACTCGGTAAAACATCTAAACTATTGGGACCGACTAAAGAGCCTAAATCTGTACTCCTTGAGCACAGACGGGAGAGATACTTAATAATTTACACGTGGAAAATATTAGAGGGGCTGGTCCCAAACCTGCACACAGAAATAACATCACATGAGACCAGAAGACATGGCAGGGTGTGCAGAATACCCCCTGTTGAAAAGTGGAGGTGCAACAGGTACTCTGAGAGAGAACTCTTATCAACATCAGAGGCCCGAGACTGTTCAACACGCACATAAGGGGCATAACTGGCCGACCCCTCACAGTGTTCAAGAGAGAACTGGATAAGCACCTCCAAAGGATACCTGATCAACCAGGCTGTGACTCATACGTCAGGCTGCGAGCAGCCGCGTCCAACAGCCTGGTTGATCAGTCCAGCAACCAGGAGGCCTGGTCAACGACCGGGCCGCGGAGACGCTGAGCCCCGGAAGCACCTCAAGGTAGACCCCCTCCCCTTCCGGCCCGTTGGCGTCGTGAGGGGGCTTGGTGGACGGCTGCCGGAGTGTGATGCTCCGTTGGGCAGTCCTCTGTCCTTTTCTGGCCTTGCACTCCTGCTGCTGTCTTCTCCAATTGTGCCGGATCGCTTTTCCTTTTCCTTATGTTTCGTTTTTCTCCCCCCTCTTCTCCTATCTGCTTGTCGTTTCCTGCCGACCTTTTGCTTGTTTTGGATTATTTCTTTGGACTTCTTCTATTTTGACGCCCGGGTGCTTGAGGAGGCATACTCTTGCACCCGTAGAACTGTAGTACCCGACGTCTCGAGCGAGGGGAACCTTTTATTGTCAATCCCCCTTTCGTCGCTGAACCCGATCTCGACGGACTGACGGTTCTTAAGGTGGCGTTTGTGGGGCGTATACTCACGACGCACCCCTAGGGGGCCCCGGCGTGATCAGCGATAGCTTCCTGTTGGGTGTCCTGCCTCTAATTGTGGCTCCATGGTGGGTATGGGGGCACATTCGTGGATGAATTTGTCACTTTTCGTCTCTATGTCGTTGAATGTTTCCGTTGTACCCTCTCAGGCTCGTGGGGTGGGCGACCAAGCCCCCGAGTCGGCCTGTATTGGAAGACCAGGCTCTGTAGCTCCCGCTGCGTTGGGCCCCGACCTTGCTCCTCCTTTGACCGTCCTGACTTCTTCCCCCAGCTCCCCTCCCTCCTCTGAGGTTGGGTCGAGCCTCCAGCCCCCGGTGGTGACCACTTCGTCCCCTGGTGTGGCTAAGTCTTTCGTTGTGACTACTGCGCCTTTTGACCCCTCTCTCTCTAGGGGTTCTCAACGCCGTTCGCGCCCCAACCGCACTCGCTCGATTCCTTCCCGTGCTGATGCGTATCAGGCCTTGTTTGGTCCTGCTTCATGGGCCAAATACTTTGATCTCCTCCCTCTTGATTCTGCGCCTCCTGACGATTTCTCCCTCCATCGGCATCTTGTAGATTCCGTGGATGCGTGTGTTACTTTCAACCCCACTCGTCTCGGTACACGTGTCGTTGCTGCTCCTTCTCAGGATGCGGCTTCCCGCTTGGCTGCCTTATCTTGCCTTGGCGAGATCCCTGTTCGGGTCTCCAAGAACGTTCAGATGAATTCCAGTGTTGGCACTATTCTCCTCCCACCCCATGTTGCAACCGGTGTTCGGAATCTGCAGGATTGCCACGATGATATTCGGCATATCCTTGATGCCCAAGGCCATTCTGTCCTCCAGGTTGACTCGTTTACTCGTCCCCCTCGTGGTCGTCGACGTCAACCCCTTCGCGTTGTGAAGATCACCTTTGATGGTAGGACCCTTCCATCCTCTGTCATTCTTGCTGGTGCTAGGTGCTCTGTCCAGGAGTATATTCCTTCTCCTCGGCTTTGTAATAAGTGCTGGAGGTTTGGGCATGGTGCCCTCCGCTGCTCTGGGACTGTCTCTCTCTGTCCTTTGTGTGGGAGTGAAGGTCACTCTAAGTCGGAGTGCACTTCTCCCCAAGCTCGCTGCCTCAACTGCGGTGAGGCCCATCCTACGTTCTCCCGTGCCTGTGTCCATTACAAGCTTGAGGCGGCCGTCCTTAACCTGAAGCACCGGGAGCGTTTGTCTTTTCCTGAGGCGAGGCGCCAGGTTCGCCGGCTCCCGCCTTATACTAACATCTCTTATGCTCGCGTGTTGCGCTCTTCCTCTCCTCGTCCTTCCCCCCTTCCTCAGACTCTCAACCGTTTCCGGGCCTTGGACCCTGATACGCCCACTGCCCCCTCCTCTGTTCCTTTGAGTTCTTTCCCGAGGGGTCCCCCTCCTGGTCCTCTGTCTGGGGTTCCCCTTCTTTCCACCCGGTCTGTCATGTCTCCTGTGTCTTCTTCCTCGTCCCCCTCCGATCCTCCTTCCCATCCTCTTCCTCCATCTCTCGGCTCTCCCCGCCGCCTGTCGGTGCAGGCGGATGTCCATCGCTCTCCTAACGGCCGTTGTGTGTGCTCTCGTTCGGCTTCTCCTGCTGAGACGCTGGAATCCGTTGCCCGGTACGTAGTTGCTGGGACACCTGTCTCTTTAAGTCAGAAGCGTAAGCCTGGCTCCTCTCCTTCCTCTTCCCCGGCGGGTAAGAAGGCTTCGCTTTCTTCCTTAGCTCCTACTTCTGGCTCTGTTGCTCCTTCCCCTCCCGTTTCAGTGGTTGCACCCCCTGTTCCTGCTATGGAGGTTTCTTTGGCCCCTGCTTCCCTTTCGGTTGCTGCTCTTGCTGGGGTGCGCTCCCCTCTTTCTACTCCCCCTCTTCCTACTGCTGTCCTTGACCGCTCCTCTCCGTTGTCTCCTCCTCTTCCTCCTCCTCCTCCGGACCCCGCCCGCCCACCTCTGATCTGTTCTCCCGTTTCCTTCCCTCCGTCTTTGCTCAGTTTACCCATGCCCCCTAACCCTGACTTTGCTGACCCTGATCCCGACCCTGATATTCTTTAACGTGCTCTGTCGCTCTTTCGCCTTTGTTTCTTCCTTGTTCTCTGTTTTTGTCCTTTCTCTTCCCGTCGTTGTCCATTCTTCAATGGAACGTTCGAGGTTATTACGCCAATTTCCTCGAACTCCAACTTCTGATTTCGCGGTTTTCGCCCCTTTGTGTCTGTCTCCAGGAGCCAATGCTTGGTGCTCGTCCTGGTCGTTTTCGTGGCTATTCCTTTCTCTCCCCCCCCCCCCCAGCCATTGCTGGGGCTTCTAATTCTTCTGCTCTCTTGATTCGTGCGGATGTTCCCTTTGTTCCTTTACTTTTTCCTTCGCCTCTCCATTGTTCTGCTGCTCGTATCTTTGTGGGGAAATGGTACACAGTTTGTTCCATTTATCTCCCCCCGAGTGTCCCGCTCTCTCTTCCTGATTTGAAACACCTCCTAGACTCCTTGCCGGAGCCTGTGCTCCTGCTGGGTGACTTCAATTGTCGTCATTCTCTTTGGGGTGACGTTCTGACGAATACCCGGGGTCGCCTCCTTGAGCCGTTTCTCCTATCTTCTTCCCTGTCTCTTCTGAATTCTGGTGAGCCCACTCATTTGGACTCTCGGACTCGCACCCTTTCTTGTCTTGATCTTTCTCTCTGCTCTTCTTCTCTTTACTTAGATTTCACGTGGCAGGTTCTTGATGACCTCCATGGAAGTGATCATTTCCCCATCCTTGTTTCCTTTTTCTCTTTTCGCCCTTCCCTCTCTTTCCCTAGGTGGCAGTTTGCTAAGGCAGACTGGACCCTATTTACCCTCAGTGCTGCTCTCTCTGACCTCTCCCTTCTGCCTCTCTCTCGCGCTCTCCTCCTTTTTCATGACACTGTCTTCAACACTGCCCTCCGCTCTATTCCTCGCTCTTCCTCTCGGGGTCCGCGGAAGTGCGTTCCCTGGTGGAATGCGGACTGTGCTCGGGCTGTCCGCTGTAAGCGTGCAGCCTGGAAGAGGCACCGCCGTAGGCAGACGACCGATTCTTTTCTTTTCTTTCGGAAAGCGAGTGCGGTGGCCCGTAGGGCCATCCGTACGGCTAAACGTGAATGTTGGGCATCTTATGTCTCAACACTTACGTCCGAAACCCCTCTGGCCCAGATCTGGAAGCGTATCCGCAAGATAGCGGGTAAGTTCGTTCCCGATGTTTCACCGGTCCTTCACCTCCATGATACTCTTGTGGCGGACCCGTTGCAGGTCGCTTCCGAACTGGGTTCCCACTTTTCTTCTGTTAGCTCTGGTCTCCATCTTCCCCAATCTTTCCTTCTTCGTAAACCTGTCCTTGAGTCTCGTCCTTTAGATTTCTGCACTCATCTTCAGCTTCCCTATAATGATCCCTTCTCTCTCTCTGAACTTCGTTCTGCTCTGGCCCTCTGCGGTTCTACGGCGGCGGGCTCCGATGGTATTCATTATGAGATGCTTCGCCATCTCCCTCCGAGCACGTCTCAGTATTTACTGAGTCTGTATAATCGGATCTGGGAGTCGTCGTCAGTCCCTGAGGATTGGCTCGATGCCGTTGTCCTCCCTGTTCGCAAACCGGGGTCTCTGGGTACTTCCCCTAAGGACTTTCGCCCTATTGCTCTCACAAGTTGTGTCTGCAAACTTTTTGAACGTATGGTTAACGTTCGTCTGATGTGGTTCCTGGAACACCATCACCTCCTCTCCCCTTCTCAATTTGGTTTCCGCAAGTGCAGCAGCACGACAGATGTCCTGGTGAACTTGGAGGTCTATATTCGTACTGCTTTTGCTGCGAAGACCTCCGTTGTTGCCGTCCTTTTTGACCTGGAAAAGGCTTACGACACCACTTGGCGTTATCATATCCTATCTCAACTTCATTCTTTTGGCCTTCGTGGTCATCTCCCTCTCTTTCTCCGCAGCTTCCTCTCTCGTCGTTCCTTTCGGGTGCGCCTTGGTACCGCTCTCTCTCCCTCTTTTCAGCAATACGAAGGTGTGCCCCAGGGTAGTGTTCTGAGCACTACTCTTTTTCTGGTTGCCCTCAATGGTCTTCTTTCCTCTATTCCTTCTGGTGTCTTCTCCGCTCTCTATGTCGATGATCTTACCCTTTGTTGTCAGGGTGATGATTCGCCTCTCCTTCAACGCCGGCTTCAACTTGCAATTGATGCCGTGTCGTCTTGGGCCACTGATCATGGCTTCAAGTTCTCTACTTCTAAGACTTGTGCCATGACATTTACGCGGAAACGGGTTGTTCTTCGTCCCTCTTTGTCACTTTATGGTCATCCCCTTGAATACAAAGATTCCGCGAAGCTTTTGGGGTTATTCCTTGACACTCGTTTGTCTTGGTCTCCCCATATCTCTTACCTCCGTGTTGAGTGCTCTAAGGCCCTTACCCTCCTTCGGGTCTTGTCCCATACTTCTTGGGGGGCAGATAGGCGCACTCTCCTTGCTTTACATTCTTCTCTCGTCCTGTCTAAGCTCGATTATGGTTGCCCTGCTTACTCGTCTGCTTCTCCTTCTACTCTTCGCCGTCTTGATGCTTTGCACCATACTGGGTTGCGCCTCAGTTCTGGTGCCTTTCGTTCGACTCCCGTCCTTAGCTTGTATGTTGACACTGGCTTCCTGTCTCTCCAGGACCGCCGTGATCGCTACTGTCTTCGCTATCTTGCGCGGTCCTTGCAACATCCTTCCTCTCGCCTCTGTCGTGCTTTAACTTTTACCCCTCCTGCGGTTCCTGTTCCTCTTCACCACCTCCCTCTTTCTGTCCGGTTATCTCGCCTGCAGGATTCTCTTTCCGTTCGTATTTCTGATGTTTCTCCTCGTGTTGTTCCTTCTTTGCCCCCGTGGAGGGTCCCTCTTCCGCGGTTTTGTACTTCCTTGACCCGTGTCACTAAAGCTTTTACCCCTCCTACGGTTCTAAAACGCCTTTTCCTCGAGCACTTTTCTTCTCACTCCCGCTCCGTTTCTGTCTTCACCGATGGGTCTAAGTCAGCGGACGGTGTTGGCTACTCTGTTGTTTTTCCTGATCGCACTTATATGTGTCGCTTGCCTCCGGAGACTAGCATCTTTACAGCGGAACTTTATGCTATTCTCTATGCTCTTCGTCTCCTGCTTTCTCGTTGTCAGTCTTCCTTTGTAGTTGTTGTTGACTCTCGTAGTGCCCTCATGGCTCTCGGGTCCTTTAATCCAGTTCATCCAGTGGTTGTCGAGATCCAGCATTGGCTGTTTCTCGTTCATAGTAAATTTAAGTCGGTTGAGTTTTGTTGGGTTCCCAGCCATATTGGTGTGTCTTTAAATGAGCGTGCGGATGCTGCCGCCAAGGAAGCTGTCCGCTCTTGTCCCATCTCTCGTAAGGGCATTCCGTATTCCGACTTTTACCCGGTTATCCATTCCTCAGTCCTTACCCGTTGGCAGGCTTCTTGGTTGTCTGTTACTGGTAACAAGCTACGTACTCTTAAATGTTGTGTTTCCTCGTGGCAGTCCTCCTTCCACCGTAACCGGCGGTGGGAAACAGCTCTGGCGAGGTTGCGTATTGGCCATACTCGCTTAACCCATGGTCACTTGATGGAGCGCCGCCCTGCTCCTTATTGTCCTAGTTGCATTGTCCCTCTTACGGTCGTGCATGTCCTTCTTGAATGTCCTGACTTCCAGGACGAGCGTATGTTTTGCTTTCCGACCGCCCCTCGCGGTCACCTGTCCCTCGATAGAATTCTTGGTGACTCGGATACTTTTGATATCGTTCGCCTTATGCGTTTTTGTTCTCGTATTGGCATCCTTGGTGATATTTAGCGCCCTCTGATTATTTTGCGTATTTGATGGTGCTACATAGCCTTCCCGGTTTGGTGCCTTCTTTTGATAATTACTTACTTACTGAACAGAGTGGTAAACGGTTGCAACAAGTTAGATGAGAAAGTGGTAGGAGGCCAAAATCGTCAGTATTTTCAAAGCGTTAAATGACAGAGTGCTGGGAAGACAGGAGACCATGAGTGTAGCTCTCCTCCTGTAACTATGCTTAGGTAATTACACACACAAACATGGGAGGGGGGGGGAAGTAACTGAGAAAAGTATGTCACAAAAACTCCAAATTCCAATGAAAAATGGTGGGTATAAAAAATTTCTAGTCAGAACTCAAAACATCTGAAACACAACCTTGCCAACTCTCCTACTGTCAACAGATGGCAGTGTCAGCCCACCAATGATTCCAGCAAGGTGATCCACTTCACTTTTAAGCCCAAAAGAATCTAACCGATACACGAAAAGAAGGCGGGAAAGGGAATGAAATCGGCTTCCCAGAACATCCTTACCATGACACTTCGAATGAATAAATTTGAGAATAAAAAAAAAAAAGGGCTGATCCATGTACAGTGATCCCCAGCACAATCTCTCCAAGCAAAAGAGAGACAGCAACGCCAGGGCAAGACACCCTCACCCAAGTCGCCTGCTCCTCTTCCACCATAAACCTCTCGACCTTGTCCTGTATTCATTACACTACCTTTTCTTAGTTTACTTCCTGAACTCCTTATACTCATTATAGGACCCTTTAATTATTGCACTCCCCGAACTCATCACACCACCCTGTTCATACTGCCTTCATCTGACCAAAGTATATACTGTAATCTTAAATTGAGTTTTCCTTAGCTAACTTGCACTTGTTCAACTACTGTACATTTAATGAATAATCTTAACTAGAGGAAAAAGTTTTTAACAAAAAATATTTGGAATTGAAATTTACAGTACTTTCCTCTTGTGTCTGTAGTAAAAGTAGCAGCTCTTGAGTACTATTAGGATTTGATCCAATTATATAAAAAGCAATATATACATCTCTTATCAGTCAAAAGAGATGATGATAAGACCACGAGATAGAGGCTAGGGTTACAAATGCTAAGTCATGGATGACAAGCAGAAAAAATCATCATTGCCATATTGCTTACTGTTAGCATAAATGAACCTGATTCAATAAAGACAAATTTTTGTATTTTATTGTACTGTCTTTGAAATGTATGCTTTACCCCTCAAACATTGAGTTTCTTTTTATAGGAGAGCAGATGGATGAAGTCCCTGACAAGAGTGTGGATGTTGTGGTGATGACTTTAGTGCTCTGCAGTGTTAGCGAAATTGAAAAGATCTTGCAACAGATTCTACGAGTCCTTGTACCTGTAAGTTTTATATGATCCTAAATTATTTCTGTAACTTTTTGGTTGACATTTAAAGAAATTTGTAGCATAAGCTAACCGATTTACAAACATTGATAAATATTTCTCTCATATACAGTACCATTATAAATTTCACTGCATTGTCCACACACATGCATATATTTCTGAACCAGACCCCCACAGCTAGGGCCTTTATGGTCCATCTGGTACTCAATCATATACCTGGCTCTCATGGCTTTTATCCTCCACAAGACTGGTATTTTTCAGTTAATTCTCTTTTCATAGGCGAGTCTAACGAGCACCAGCTCATTATAATATGCAGCAACAATTCATGACACTCAAAACCCTTCTATAACCAAAAATTAGAAATACCAAATGTTCCAGTTATCACTCTTAAACTACTATTAGTAGATAAAAGCTTTACCGACTGTCACTAGGCATCACCTCTGTCACCGAAGTATAACTGAAGAGTTGGCAATCTTCCCTTTTAGTCCAGGAGTTTTCAATCTCCCTCTTTAAATTATTCTTTCTTTGTAGGGACAGTCATGTTTGAGCATTTCAGTTTTTTTTCTTTTGTTGTGCCGTTTGTGTCCTCTAAGCTGCATCTTTTTCTGGCTTTCCACAAAGGAACGTTTCGGACAGAATTTGTGCTTCGGCAGTCAGTAGTTCTGTTCCTTCCGTGAGATTTTTATTATAGTACTTGGAACAGTTTCCTATTGAACGTTCATAAGATCCCTGTTTATTTTTTCCAATATATAATTTTATTATTATAATTAAATTTATTTAATAACCACTCACTTGACTAGATGAGGCATTTTTGGCCTATTACAAGTATTTATGTTTGTTTGCACATCAATAAGCTTGTTATCTGAGTATGTGATATCTGAGATCGTAATGTCCCTGATTATTTCAACATTGTTTGTAAAGATAAGATCTAGAATATTTCTGGCCCTAGTTGACTCTGTTATCTGCTGGTTGAGCAAAAATTTATCACAAAATCTAAGTACGGCAGTTCTCTGACCTATGGTTGGTTATTTCCGGATATTTCCAGATATACATTGTATTGTTGTTTGCTATTTACCATTTTTGACTGGGCAGGTTGAAGTCTCCTAGGAAGATATCTGGCATTGGGTTTGTCAGATTATTAGGTCTATTTATTTTTGTTCTGTGAATTCTTCAGCAATTGCATCTGTCAGTTTGTATTAGAATAATAACTTTAGAATATTAGAACAACTTTATTTTATCTATTTTTACTCCCATTGCCTCTGCCACCACATTTGTAGAGTTATGGAGCTCCGAGCATATAAGGTCCTCTCTAATATATAAACCTTGTCTCTCCATGTGCCCTTTCTTTTTCATTTGACCACTGTGACTTCCACAAGCTGTCTTGTAATGAAACACTGTCATACAACCGAGTGATGAGTTTTTCATCTTGTAATTTCAAATTAGGATCGGTTAATTGTGCAGTAATGTCCACAGCAAATGCCAGTTCCTGGAGCCAACTTTCATCTTTTATTTCCTCTGTGTTTTGACCTTTCATCTCCAAAAACTTAATTATTTCTTGTCTCAACAAATAAAATCTTTTCAGCTCTTTGTAACATGACAACCAGTGGACTTCTGTGTAGAATGGAACATCGGTAAACTGGTCCATATCTTCCAACAACTGGCTATATTAGTGGTTGTTGAGAGCACGGCCTCTGATATAATTCACTGTCTTTGTGACCAAACTAAGCACATGATCCAATTTTAAAAATCTTTGAACACAAATTTTGCTGATGAATAATGCAGTGAAAATGTGCAGATGCTGAATCTGGATGCGAGTTTTTTATTTTTGTTCGTAACTTGGCAGCAACACCATTATATCTGCCAACCATATTTCGAGCACCGTCGGTAGATAAGCATGGAAGTTTACTCAATCCAAACCATAGTCGTGCAGAACCAGCTTGATTTTCTCAAAGATGTCCTGGCTTGTTGTAGTGTCATACATAGGGATCAGTTCAAGTAGTTCTTCATGAATATTATGAAGAACTTTTATCCGGTTAACAAACTGAAACAAAATTTAGGCCAGCTTAACAGTTAATGTCGTGTCTCTTTTTAGAAGACTTAACTCGCTGGCCTCACAGCTGCATTCGTGTTTCTTTTGTGCTTTTGAAATCTATTAAAAGGTGATAGTTTAAATTATAAAAACTGCAATTTTGTCTGTTAAATGACCAAATTACAGTATCCTCTGTGTGGACTGCAGGTGTGCTTGTAAAAGGCCGCATGCAACCTGCTGGCTGCATGTTTGACATGCCTGGACTATACAATATTTAATTTTAAGGTGATTTTCAAGCTAATGTTCTGACGTTTTTACTTCTAGGGTGGCAAATTCTACTTTTTGGAGCACATACGGGAATTTGATCCAGTGAAGTATAGTGCAAGAGAGAAACTACAGGACTTCCTCACTAAGAGTGGCATATGGCCATTTCTATTTGATGGCTGTTGCTTAAATCGTGACATGCTAGATGTTATTAAAAGAGCTGGTTTCTCAAAGGTTGATGGTGTACGTTTTTATGCTCCTATTTCCAATTTCTTTTTCAAGCTCATAAAACCACACCTGAAGGGCATTGCAGAAAAATAAATGTTCCTGACAAAATTATATGTAGTAACAAGTCTCATTACTCTATATATCTAAAAAAAAATTCAGAACAGGCTCATGACCAATGTGTGTTGTATTGCATTGAATCAAAAAATAGCTAATTGTCTGGATTCCTAACATTTTAAATGTCTTGTTCTCTTATTAGTCTGAAATGTGGGCACTATTATTGGTCTTGTACACTCAACTTGTCAGGTTATAAACTATAACCTGATAAGTTTATCTGTGTACTGTATAACCTTCCTACACTGTGGAAGGTTATACACTATAACCTGATAAGTTTATCTGTGTACTGTATAACCTTCCTACACTGTGGAAGGTTATACACTATAACCTTCCACAGTTGCAGTAGGATAATAAGATCTGCAACTGACTTACAACATTATGCAGTATGCTATATTGAAGCTTAGGGTTTCAAAAGAAGTTATTTAACAGTTGATAAAATTTTAAATTAAACATACTGTAGTGCTTTGTTAAATAATGGTTAATTTTATGCAATTTATTTTATGCAATCTTGACAGTAAACTAAAAAATAGCTGTATTATAAGCAAGGAAGGGACTTTGCATTAGACTCCTCTATGGTATGTTGCAAGAATATGAGCGACAGTTATATATTTTAAATCTCGTATAGAATATTTTTTAGCCATTCTCTCTATTTTCTTGTTAGAAATGTTAATGGTAATGTGATTTTTTCCTATGAGGCTGTGTTTTTGCTTGGAGTGTTTGTATTTATCTTAGAATAAGTTTGAGATAACAGCAGCTTTTTACACACCTATTTTATGATGACTTCTTCGCTTTTAAATTTGGCTTCTTGTGGAGGATGGACATTTGCAGAATGTTCTCCAATTATATTTTTTTTAGACACCTTTATATAAAGTTATTAAGAGGAGCAACTAAAATATTTACTAGGTAATTTCTTCTTTTGTAATTTTTAAAATTCACTTGAAAGTGTTTAAGATTAAATAAAGATTGAGTTCCATGGTATATTGGCACGTGGATTTTAACGTTTTTATTGGAAAATGCATTTTATAGTTCCTGCAGGCAAATCACAGCTCGCTTATATGTGCTTCGACTACTTTCAAGCACTGGGGAATGACACCTTGATACCTTCCTTGAGGTTATCTTGAGATGATTTTGGGACTCAGCGTCCCCGCGGCCTGGTCCTCGACCAGACCTCCTTTTTGTTACACGTCCCCCCAGAAGCAGCCTGTAGCAGCTGTCTAACTCTCGGGTACCTATTTACTGCTAGGCATCAGGGTGAATAACTGCCCATTTGTTTCCACCTCCACCGGGGATTGAACCCGGAACCTCAGGACTACGAATCCGAAGCGCTGTCCACTCGGCTGTCAGGCCCCCCCTTTTCCTGCCTTCAGGAAGGGAATGACACCATCACCCAGAAACTCATAAATTTTGAATTGCTGGGGAGTGTTACTTGCATGCATGACTCAGTATTAGGTTGAAGCATTTGCTGCTGCTTTAATGTTTCTACTTTGTATACAGTGACAAAGGTATTCAGGAAAATATGTTTTGGTCTTTGACATTTCCAAGGCTGCATAGTTGGTGCTTAGCATCTTTACTCTATATTGCAGAACATGTTATAATAGCTGTAAAACAGGTTTTCATTCTCCAACTTTGGTATTGTAAGCATTCAGCTCTATCAAGATGTAAAACTTACCATGAAGGTTGTGCAAGTTCTGGAACTACTATTTAAAATGCATGTGTGTGTATGTAAAAACATGTATACTTATGGAGACCATTGACAGTAGTACATTCTACCGACTGTACTATATATATATATGTATATACTGTGTAATATATATATATATATATATTATATATATATATAAATAATATAAACACACACACTGTGTAATTAATTGTGCTGCTTTATTATGTTAGAGCTGAATTGATAAAGTAAGCTTTAGGTCTCTTGAGATTGCGTCTATAAGAATCCTTAACTAACGTGTAGTGCAGCTTTCATATCCCATTAAAATCTGATAATGTATCTACAGTACTTTAAAAACAAACCTCTTTCAGCCCTTTACTCTTATGTAACATACTATATACACAGTATGTAAGTGCCTTAATTGATGGATTGAGTATAGTAGCAAAGATTTTTAATGAAGTAAGTGGCATATGTAAAAGTGTGTTGGGCTTAGTGACTTAATTTTATATTGTTAGGAAAGAATGTTAATTTTTAGATTATAAAAGAAGTATGTCAAGGTGGTTATTTCCTAATAGTTATTCAATGAATATATCTAGATGAAATCATTACAGAATTCAATTAGAATAATATAGGAATTTGTGAATGTAATACATGATAGGAATATTTGAAGTGCAGTATATCATACTTCTGGTAGTCATTTTGACTATTTAATGACTAATGAATGTTTGCAAATCATGGAAAGAAAGATTAGAAGTGTAGCATGGCTCAATTGATCCAGCCATAATATTTAGGCAAGAGATATTTGCATATTATGCAAATATGCATCTAAGTTGAGAGTTAGTGATGTTGCCATATGGGAAAATGAGCGAGTGTGATCAGAGTGAGGAAAAGGTATAACTGTAGTATGTTTTTGTGGAATTAATTATTGGTGAAAGTGATTTAGGATTGTTTTAGGAATGTGTTTCATAGTAAGGAGAGGGAGTCCAATAATGGACAGATGTGGTGAGAATATTTCATGCATGTGAAAAATTCCTAGAAATTAGTGAGGAAGAGTGGGTGAAAGGTGCTTGTTAGGAGAAAGTGATGGACTTTTTGTATTTGTGACAAATCACAAGAAGTCCTTTACATTTAGTCTATGAAACTGCTGAAACACAGCTCCTGCTTCGTGAACGTTACCAGTGTGATGATAGGTATGTGATGCTAGAAAATTTTAAAGGTAGAGTAGAATGAAAATTTGGTTGTAGTCTGCATATATTCAACATTGGTTTTGCCAGATACTTTTCCATCCTTGCCTAATAGGCACCTCCCTAGACTGTGGAAAATGAGGTAGTGACTAATATTAGCAATAATAATTATTACAATCAGAAAAATTTTCATACCAATAGAAATGAGGTAATTAGTTAAAAATTTAATAAGTGTATAAGGGATTATGCCAATTTTTGGGCTATAGTCAAGTTTTCTTTATTTAAATTAGAAAAATACATTTGTGTGCATTTAATTAAGCATTTTCTACTGGATAGAAGTATTTTGTGATAAAAAATTTTAAGTTTTGGGTGAATGCTGTATTATCATGTTATTAATACACTTTGCAGGCGATGAGTCACAATAGCGTGGCTGAAGTAGTTTGACCAGATCACACACTAGAAGATTAAGGGACAACGACTTTTCGGTCCGTCCTGGACCATTCTCAAGTCGATTGTGTCGACACATTGACTTGAGAATGGTCCAGGACGGACCGAAACGTCGTCCCTTCACCTTCTAGTGTGTGGTCTGGTCAAATTAATACACTTTGTTAAACTAATGTTGTTGTCCATTCTGTAATTTATATTTACTTAAAAAATATTTGTCTGTGATATAGCTTGTGCAAAAGATTCATTATCTCAGAGCAATGGCCATTCATAAATTGTCACATGTACTGATCATAAAGTATTACCCACTTTGTGAAACACAAGCTTTAATGCTTCATATATGCATATTGATCAGAAGTTAATTCCATTTAGGAGTGTAAATGATAAATAATAAAAATAATAATGTCTTAATATTGCGCACTTTTTTTTTTTTTTCTTAACTTCCCCATTCTTGAAATGACTGTCTTGTAGAATTGATATATTATTTTGGACTGGTATTTCAGTCTTCGTGTAGAAGGTGCCAAATCCTGCTTTTAACAAATATGTAGTGTCTTCCCAGGCAACCAAACTACTGTACTTCCAAACTGAAGACATTTGTTTACACCACACCCTCCTGGCTTCCACCTTATGGCAAGGGGGCTCACATACAGTACCCTCAGGCTGCTGTGGGTTGCATCAGCCCTCTTTACTACATCTCTTCGAATGACATTTTTATAAAAAGAAACCCTGAGTTGGGGTTCCTGTTTAGGTCATTGGCCCACCTGCCAGAGGAGTCAACCTTAGAAGAAGGTTTTGTCCAGGTTGGGGCATGTGGGAGAAAAAGGTTTTTACATCACTAGGAAAACGTTTGATGCAGTAGGGCTTCGTTGAAAAAAAGGAGAGCACTGCTTGTGACAACATGTTCTTTTGTATGCTAACTTGCACTCGGCTTTCCCTGCTGCCCTGGTAGATGGTATACCATGGTTCTATATTTACAATTTCATGGTAGCTGAAATCTTAACTTACTCTCAAAGTCTACTGGCAGGCAACTGGACCCCTCAAGTTGAACTGGCATGATAGATTGTGTTATCTCTCACCCATGAGGGTGCTGTGTTCCCTGCTTGCTTCATGGCTTCTGCCATGTTGGACCATGTCCTAGCTCTGTCCTTGGTTTATGCTTCTAATCTTGCTGTTTTATAAGTGCAATCTGGAAAAATAACCAGTTCCATTAGACATCAGAGTCCTTAATTTTTTTGATTGCCAGTATGGTGGTCTGTAGGATCATCAGTATAGCTAAACAAGAGCCTTGTAGGTCCTATGTCTCCTTTATTATTGACAACATTCATCTCCTTATATCTGGAAGACCTAAAAGATTGGCAATAAATTTGCTCCAGATGTAATGCCCATGTTTCATCTCTTGGGTTCTGTTCTTGCTGATTTGGTGTTAGTCGCAAATGAGCTAGGTACACACTTCCCAACCATTAGCTCTCGTTTCCATCTCTGTCCTGCCTTCCTAACCCGTAAGTCCTGCATTGTATACAGGACTTGCTGCCTTTACTATGTCTCAGTTGTAGCCATTCTTTTTTAAAACGAAAAGGCTTATGACACTACCTGGAAGTATAGCATTGTATTTTGTATTATACCCATCTGTATTCTTTTGGCCTTTGAAGCTTTCTCCCACTTTTCCTTCAGAGTTTTCCTTCTAGTTGTACATTTAGGGTATAGTTTGGTACTGCATTCTCTACCTCTTTTCAAGAGTATCAGGTAATGCTTAAAACACTATTCCAGTGTAGTGTTTTAAGCACTTATTTTTCCTGATTGCCCTTAAATATTTCCCCTCTCTTCCTTCTGGGTATTTTGTCTGCTATATATTGACAATCTGCGGTTGTGGTGCTAACTCAAACTTGTAATTGATAGCGTGTCATTCTGAGCTGTCAATCATGGCTTCAAATTCTCCGTGGCTAAGACTAAGATGCATGTCATTTCTTGTACATCTTTGGCACTGTATGGTACAGTAATCTCCTTGTGTATGAGGATAATGCTAAGCTCTTTGGGTAGTTTAACTGTAACTTGCCCCATATTTTAATACTCAGTTTTGTCCCATACTTCCTGGGGCTGATAAAGTGCACACTTTTCTATGTGCACTGTTTGCTTGTATTGTCTAAACCAGTCTATGACTGCCCCACTTGTTCTTTGGCTTCATCTTCAACCTTTCATGATGTTAATAATCTGCATCATATGGGAGTGCGCCCTGGGTCTAGGTAAAGTAAATGAGGCAAGTGTACGGATGCTGGAACGTACGGATGTCTCGTCGGAAATACTGGAATCGTATGCGGATAGCCAACACGTCTTGGAAGCCACTTGCATCTATAGGCCAGATACGATAATGAATGCAAACGCCAAGAAAAATACAAAAAATGCACTAGTACAACAAGGCTAATAGGCAGTATATAAAAGAGGTAGGTTTCACCTCGTATGCACTGATTGATAAGTACGGAACTAACATAATTTTGTGTCTGCCTGAATCACACTGACACATTATGACAGTTATGTATTGTAATGCGTGTTATTTCTTCTCTTCCTTCATTAGGCTTCTCTACTCTAGAGTTTATTTAATCTCTTCGTTAGTTATTGGTAAGCAGGGAACACAAAACAATATAAATAAATAGTTTATTATAAAATTATATGATAATTCGTATATACGTGAGATCTACGTAATGTGAAATATGGGAAACAATATTATAGAATACTGTATGTAATACTTATTCAGTAATGTCATGATTCTTTTATAAATTAATATAAAGATGAAATTAATTATAGATAAAATTAATTTCATGAATACGGAATATTTAGTATATACTGTACTAAATTCTAACATATAATATTTCCCTTAGTATTAATAATAAATTCAATACACAGTATTGATACCAGCATGTTTTGAACCAGCTAACATATGTGCATACCTATAGGCACATATGTTAGGTAGGACTAGCAGAGCTGAGTAACTAGGACTACCTAGGCTAGGGGCCCTAGGCTAGGGGACCCTAGCAGATGTGCATATCAACAAAATGTTGTTTGTCCTGGTATACGGGCCCCCACACATCTGTTTGGTTCTTGGCCTTCTTGGTCTTGGTCTGCCCCGTGCTCTTGCTCCTGACGGCGCTGGTCTGCTGGGCTTGTTGCACGTAACCGCATGTCTCCATGGCCTTGTAAGTGGCCTTCCTGTAGGGAAGAATGCAAATATTACTATATATCTTTTCTATACTGATATTTAAACCAATCCAGCTGCTAAAAAATAAACTTCGATTCATATTTACCACTAAAACCTTTGTCGTTTATATATTTGTATATATTTTAGTGATTTGTGTTGGTTCTCTGTACTGAGATTGCATACAGAGCTCAGCAAATTTACAGTGATTTTCATTTGAAAGACTAAAATGAAAGACAGGTGAACATGACTTACCTGGCGTGAGGGTCAACATCGTAGCTGCAGGAGGCGTAGACGTGCTCCAGAACCATCTTGCTGGTGGTGGTTACCACGACGAGGCTCACGAAGGTCTTTTTACTGTGTGAGGTTCCGTCTAAGGACGAGGATGATCGCTGAGATTCGTGCGTATATACTTTAACTTGTGTAGCGTTCAAGAATTAGCAGTTGAGCCGTATATGATGCAAAGTAATTTCTGTGGAAGAAACACGTGATAATTAATAATTCATTGTGTCAGGGGACAAGCAGTCAGTGTATATACATACAGTACATGTTAGGCTTATAACGAGCCCCCCCCCACCCCAGAGTTGAATTATTGACCCTCTAAAGGATGCAAACCCATAACAAGCAGACTAACAACTGGGTACCTATTTACTGCTAGGTGAACTGGGGCATTAGGTAATAGGAAACGCGCCCAACCATTTCCGTCCCTCCCGAGATTCGAACCCGGAATTCTGGATTGTAAGTCGAGAACGAACCTGACTATTACCGGGACCCTTTAATTAAATCAATATATGTATGCAGACCGACCCAGACTACAATATATGTAGTCTAACACATCTGACATTGTTAGATGAGATAAATATCTAATAAATTTAATTAGAAATTTAATTTCGTAGTTAATTAACTTTTTGGTAAATAATTAGGGCATGGTTATGTACCTTGGAACAATGACAAAACAAAATTAATTGTTTCCTACCTTGGTGACTACCTGTAGATCACAGAAACCAGGGATCAGGTACCGGATACACTTGAAAACGAATAAATAATTATTCAGAGCAGCTGTCTATGGAGTGAAATAGAATGTGATACGTATGCTCTGCTGGCTAACACTGAATTGTCTGGGGCCAGACGGCTGCTTATAAGGCGGGAGGGTTGTGTGGCAGGGGAAGGTGAGCGGCCAGCGTACGTGTAGCTTGGCAGGAACCCTCGACGTGAGTCCTATCACGCAGGTTTTCTCTCACACAACGTCCTCAAACGTTTGTAACTTAGAGGATGGCGACGAGAAGTCTTCACAGACAGATTATCTGTACTACAATGATTTATTTTAGGTATAAGCTGAATTGTTTGGAGACTTATAGAAGCTTGCATGTTAGTGACGCAGAATGACGCAAACCAGAATGTGGTAGCCCCATGTTCCGGGAAGTGGTTCCACAACTTTTCCAGCTGCGTCCAATTATTGACGTCAGCTGATGACGTTAGTAAATACGAGGATTTGCGCATACGCCGTCAGTTCACACAGTACTCTGCTTTCATTAAGAGTATAAGTGCTATAGTCTTTGGACGATTAGCCAGTGTGACCTCGCTGACAGCACAGATGACCTTCTAGACTATGAGGGAGGGGGAAGGATGTCATAACATATACTATCTCTCTCCGAAGTGTGCGTGATTGGGCTTTTTATCAAAATATAATTACTATAGGCTACACGTTAAATGTGTGAATTACTGTTATCAATTTTTTATATTTTATTAACACATTTAGGTACATCTGCATTTGTGCTACTGCCCTAGACTATATGATGGAGTACAGCGTGTCAAAAAACTAGCTACGTAATGCTAAAAATCTCCATCTCACAGGATGGTTAGTCATACAAATGCATGTGATAAGTAGTCTGCACTGGCAGACTCTGGGCTCATTATGAGGATATCATCAACACAAGAGTGAATAAAGTAGCAGTGATACAAAAAGTCCCCATCTCGCAGAATGGTTAGTCATACAGGGCCATATGTTCAGTAGCCTGCACGGGCAAATTTTGGGTGCCTTATGAGGATATCCTCAAGAATACGAGTGAATAAAGTAATTGCAAAGCCGACGGGTCTGATAACTGGGCATTCGGTGATGTAGTGTGGAAAGAATTTTTTTTTTGTAAGAACGTGTTTTTAGTACTACATGCACAAAAGCAAATTTCATGTGCAAACTTAAACAATTATGAATATTAGTCTATATATTATTCTATACATGCAAATGCAATTTTTTTGGAGGATTTAAAATCGCTTATAAGTATGTATCTTATGTCTCAAATATGTATAATTGGTTTGTAACTAGAATATCTTGTAAGTCCCATAATGAACTGTTACAGGTAATGTAATGTACTTTTATTATAAGAAACTCAAAATAACAACTTAATGTGCTTATAACATATATCACAACTGGACGTCAGGTAAATATTTCCCACAGGTAGTCCGGACGGCGCGTGGCTGGGTGATGGGTATGGGGTGCATAATAAATGAACTAAACTAAACTGGTTGATGGCTGGCCGTCTCACCAGTATACCCAAAAGTTACGAGTTTTTTTTTGTAGTTTTTAAGCTACGGCATCAACTTATTACTTTGGACAACACAGAGATAAGTATCCTGCATAGTATGGTGAAGTTAGTTATGAGTCTTGTCAGTATTCTCACCTTGTTGGTGTCTATTAATCTTGTTTAAATTACCAATCAAGCTGTCAATGTAATCAATCAGAGCTTTAATATACCAATGTGCTTTAATATACTTATTAATCTCTCTCATCTCATTTTTTTCTTGCGATGTATTTGTTATCATTTTATTAATTCTGCTAGAATTTACCTACTTAAAATTATCTGTTAGATTAAGGACCTGCCCGAAACGCTGCGTGTACTAGTGGCTTTACAAGATTGTAAGTACTGTACTATGCTATGTATTCTCACAAACCCAAATATACCTTCTTGTATATAAATAAATAAATAAATAAATAAATAAATAAATAAATAAATTGTTTGGGTGTCTCAGGACCCCCTGTTGTGTAAACATGGAGGAGTGACAACACGGCCAACTACACCAATTATTTTGTTCATAATCCAATTATTTGTTCATTTGAACACGGCCAACTTTACTTCACCGTGAAGAAAGTGTCCATAGAACTCATGCTCGATTTTTTATATCGACTAAAAATGTAAGTTGTACTATATTTGATGTAGTGAACATAAAACAAGAATATAATTTGGTTTCAAATTCAGGAAAACGAGGCGACCGTGAAATGTTCTCAGATTCAGTGAGCGGTCATGATAGATGATGGCCAACATGACACTTAGTGAGTGTTTTCAAGTCGAGTAAAACATTACAGCCCCTCTATACATTTTAAATGGCGTTTAACCTCTTTAAGATGATAGGGCTAGAGATAGCTTAGGTATCATTAACTCTAGAATAATCAAATTACACAGTAAGTTCCAGAATGATAATAAGTAATTTGTAAGAAGAGTGAACACCAGCGTACCCAGTAGAGTACAGAGTGTGGGGCGAGGAGAGGTCCTTCTACCAGAGACGTTGCTAACGTGCAGATCTTAATCTCAACATTGGTGTGAAGCTATGGCCGACTAATCCGGAGTGCAGGGAAACCCATTGACCAGAGTCGGCCGCGATGTCAGCAGGAAAGATTGCATCTGGTCACGTGGTAAACCGGTCTAAGCATACGAGAACGTAGGAGTGGTCTAACATACGCAACACCTATCGTGGAAGAGAAGCCTATTGATCAAACCCGCCATGCGAAAATAGCCTACTAGTCACCAGATTCTCAACCTGTCACGAAGGAGTAGCCCACTAGTCACCAGATTCTCAACCTGTCATGAAGGAGTAGCCTACTAGTCAAAAATAATAAACCTGTCATAAAGGAGTAACCTACTAGTCAACAGACTTTAAACCTGCCAAGCAGGAGTAGCCTACTGGTCACTAAATCCTAAATCTGACATGCAATAGTACCCTTTTATCGAACTTGACAGCTAAAATATATCTGCATAATGTTTTTGTTTTAATGATGTTTACCTAGGACATTCACAACTATATAATCATTTTGTCCTAACGTGGAATAAATAAAAAGTGGGTATCGTATATGCAAAATAAATAATTTAAGTTTGGTAAAGCATTTTACACTGCATTGTGTGAAAATGTCAAATGAAAACTAACAGATGCATAAATTTAAACAATTTTATCACAACAAAATGCGTTTTTAACTACCGTCAACAATATTTAAAAAAAATGTTTAAATGTATTTAACAAAATAAAACGTTACAAGAATAGCTATCAACTCTCCTGAAATGTAAATATCCTTTGCTATCAGCAGTACAATTTTCACATAAATGAGTGATATCTTCAAATAAAGAATTAGGCGTGACAAAATTTTGGGCAGAAATTAAATTTTCAGGAGACCCCCTTAACTAAGGGAACCTTACTTGAATAAATTCCATATTTTGCATACTGACAATTGATAAGCTACTGGAAAGATTATTAGATATAAAGTTGGTATGAAATATTATTGGTGGACCCCTTATATATCGCACATTTTTATCTACCATATATAACATAATGAGGGTTTTCATTTAGGTATCTTAAAATAAAATTCTACTCCAGATTATTATATAGAATGCACTCTGAATGGTCAAAGGAAAACATTGACTTTTGCTCCTTCCTTACCCCAGTAGTGTCTATGATAATACAATGTATACCATATTTTTATGTATGAATTAACTTGTCCCGGACTTACATAGGGGGGTAGAAATAGCCTAAGCTACTCTATCCCTTTGAGATGTATTTTTTCTTGTCTCAATAAACATATTTGAACTTGAACTTGAATCTGTCTATTCATATTACAGTATTTCATAAACAAATTTATCGACTGGCACTCAGTGGTTAGTGCAACCAGCTCGGAACTGATGAGTTCCACCTGCGCTGCCGTTGAGTGAGGACGTGTCGCTTGTCCGCTTCGGCAGTTTGAGGTAGTTGCCGTTTCCGCCAGCAGGGGGTGTCTACCCTCCCTGCTGTTCCTGGTGGTAGGGACGTGGCGTGTTTTGCGATGGGCGGCCCTATTCCCGCTGTCGTGTGGTTAAACTCCATCGGATTGGAGTTTACTGGCCGTGCTGGTTACCCGCTGGTGGACGTGGTATTGAGTGACATGCTTTGAGTCCCGGTTCGAGACGTATATGGTGTTGAGCTGGTCACTGCTCACCATGTCAAGTTTGTGGGTGGGGCGGTGTACCGTGATTTTCTACGGAGGTACGAGGGCCGTACTTTGCAGCTGCAGGAAGGCTCCGGGTCTGTGACCATTTCGGACCGTAGTGGAGCTGTGACGTACGTCAGTGTTCATGGCGCCCCCATGGAGTTTCCTGAGACTCTCCTCCGGCGATTCTTCCAGAGGTACGGCTCCGTCATCAGTGTGCGGATGAACTCACTTTCGTCTGGCACGTATTCGGGTGTGAAGACCAACATTCGGACCCTCGGGATGCGACTGAGGTCGGACATTCCATCCTCTGTCCGGCTGTTGGGTTACTACGTGCGGGTGTTTTATGCCCGACAACCCCGTACTTGCTTCCGGTGTGGCTTGTTGGGGCATCAGGCTGCCGGGTGTATTGCTGTTATTTTGTGTCTTGATGTCTGTGTTTTTCACTGCATTTATCGTGTTTGTATTTTGTTGTACTGAGCTGTCGGCCGTTCTGGCCAGTGGTCTATTGTTTTGTTTTATGTTTTCTGTTTTTTTTTCTCGTTTTTATTGTATTTAAATTGCATGAAAAAAAAAAAGCTCGTTACTGATTGTTACGGTACAGGACATTTGGTCGGAGACAGGGCCGCGGGGCCGTTGATCCCCGGAAGCGACACAAGGTAGGTAGCCAGTGAGTTAGTTGATTATCGTGGGTCCTTGGGAAAGGTAAATTTTTTTCCTAGGGGAACAGTGATGAAACCTACAGGATGAACAACCCAGCGGGTTTTCTTCCTATTGGGGAGTGTTGTACATGCTGCTATGGCGCTAAGGCGCTACGGGGACGCTAAGCCCCGGAAGCACCTCAAGGTAACTTCAAGGTATGGCGGTATGTCCACTCACAAAATGAGTGGCTTTGCCCAATAAACTCG